CTGAGTTCGACCACGAGAATGAGGTCATCCGTGTAGGTGGACGTCTTAGCCGCTCTGAAGATCTCGCCTTTACCAGCTCCCATCCTTTAGTTTTGGATCCGACACATCCAGTCACCCGCCTGTTCATCCAGGACGTCGACAGTCGCCTGCGTCATCCAGGGCCAGAGAGGGTCTTCGCGGAGATTCGGCGCACTCATTGGATCCTGAGAGGTCGGGAAGCAGTTAGGCGTTTTCAAAGGACCTGTCTTGAGTGCCGCAGATGGAGAGCCCGACCAACTGTTCCCAAGATGGTTGACCTGCCAGTTGCGCTCCTCCGCCTTTACAAACCTGCCTTTTATTCGACAGGCATGGACTGTTTTGGACCCTTTGAGGTCAAAATCGGTTGCCGTGTGGAGAAGAGGTGGGGCATCATCTTTAAGTGCCTAACTATCAGAGCGGTCCACCTTGATGTCCTAACCTCCATCGATACAGATGCCTTCCTAATGGCACTTCGACGTTTCATTGCCAGGAGAGGAACCCCAGCTGAGCTGTACTCAGACCAAGGGACCAACTTCCGTGGGGGAGAAAGGGAACTCCAAGCAGCTTTTGCAGCCATGACCTCTGACCTGCAGAAGCTCCTGGCTCCCCATAATATTGTCTTCCACTTCAATCCACCAGCGGCTCCTCATTTCGGGGGAGTGTGGGAGCGGGAGATTAGGTCTGTCAAGACGGCACTCTACACTACAGTAGGATCCCAACCCCTTCCAGAAGAGGTCCTCCGCACAGTCCTTGTGGAGGTGGAGGCCATCTTGAACTCCAAACCACTAGGTTATGTCCCGTCTGACATCAGTGATCCTGATCCAGTGACCCCCCAACTGCTTTCTGATGGGGCGGCCTGACGGAGCACTTCCTCAAGTGGCTTACCCCAAAGAAGAGCTCCTGAGTCGCCGGAGGTGGAAACACTCCCAGGTGCTGGCTGACCACTTGTGGTCTCGATTCATCCGGCTGTACCTTCCAAGCCTTCAGCTTCGGCAGAAATGGCGGTCATCCCCCGCAGATGTCACAGAAGGTTCGGTGGTGATGATCGTAGATCCTCAGCTGCCTCGCGCTTCCTGGCTCGTGGGTTGCATCTCCAAAGTCCACCCCAGTCCCGACGGGCACATCAGGTCTGCTGACATCAAGGTGAAGGAGAAATTTTCTTAGGGTGGCATCAGGGTGGCAAAGAAATCAAATGGGGTGGCAAAATCGAAGCCCTTTTTTCTTACACATATGCAGGTGGTTATATATGGTTAAAATAATCCAAATGCAGTAAGCATACACGTTATATAACTTAATTATTGTCTGTAGCCCACATAATTAAACACTTTAGTTACATAAAACATGTTTTGATGCTATGTACTGTACAGCCTGTATAATAAATAAATATGTAGCCCAATAAGTATAAACTCCAGAAAGCTACACAACATGGGGC